CCCGGCCCCGCCTCCGCCCGCCCTGACCGTCAGGCCCCGGGCCCGTTCCCGGCGGCTTCTCCTCAGCTTGGCCCCGCGGGGCCTGGGGGAGCCGCCGCCTCGGAGGGCTCCTTCCCCGGGCAGGCTGGGCGCTGCGAGGCGGGAGCCGGCCTGGTTCCCTCACCACCGCAGCCTGAGGCGGGCAGCCTTCTTTGCCTCCTCAGCCGAAGGCATGTGAAGTTTAATTTTTAATCAATAAACGCTGTTTCTTCTCCCTTCAGCCCTCAGGGTCATGTGGAACACCGTGGCTTTGTGCTCCCTGGGCAGACTGGCCGCCAACGCCACATCCCCGCTTCTCCCAAGGTTACAAACCCTAAATCGCGTGTTTGAAAGAAAATATGAGGACGTGTGTCGTGGTAAACAACCCGCAGGCACACTGCAGAATCAGGGCTTGCAAAGGACACGCGACATGCTTCCCTGCCGTTTAGTAAGTAATAAAGCAAAATATAGACATAGGTATGCAAAAACTTACCCTGTTTTAGATGGACGTATCCTGTCTGTGTACCGACATGTGTTTGAAGAAAATTTAAGGAACAGTGAGGCTGTTATTAAAAGGTAATAAACTGGTTTTGTGGTGTTTTAAAAATGTTGCTGCTTGTGAGATGATGTGAGAGTTACTTATGGGCACTTCTAGGAATTTTTTTAACAGCAGAAGAATTTTAAAAAGTCCAGAGATTAAATTTTTTTTAAAAAAGTTGGCTTTTTTACCTAACTATTTGGAAACTTAAACTAGTTTCCTGGCTGCTCATTTCTCAGGCAGCTTCTCTGCAGAGTGAATTGTACAAGGATCAACACTTAAAAATTTCATCCTCCCCAAAAGAGGTGCCTAAATGTTGACAGAAATGCCTATATCTGGGTGCAGACTGTGTTTAAAATAGTGTCCTGTGACATTGTTTTGCCTATATTGCCAAGAAGTATTTTTTTTTTCTAGATCTTCATAAAATTTGTGTGCTGTTTGATTTTGAATGCAGAGACATAAATGGTGACTCAGGCATTTACAGATCCCTCCTGAAAGAGTAGGTGACAGTTATTGCAGTGATTCACTGATAAAAGCAGGAAAATGTGTTTTATGTGTTTCTCCTTAAAGATCAGATAGCAAAAATTCAAATACCTTTGTTCAGAGGAATGATACATGAGCTGGGAGTGAAGCTATGGAAAACACACTGTGCCCTCCTGTGGTGGTATTTATGACATTATTACAATCCTTAGGGTTTTTTTTTTTCTCCTGAGGTTTTTCAGTCTCTACAGTCTGCAGGAAGACACAATCAGGTAATGGAGTCACATACAGAGCGGTGTGTAAATGGTTAGGTCAAACAGTATTTTTAGTTAAAAATGATCCATCTTGGTGAAAAGTGTTTTATTTGCAATAAATGAAAAACCTGGTTTATTTAAGACCAAAATTATTTGAGATAACACACATTTGTTTACAGTTTATTCAACTGTTTATCTGTACTTGATGCTGCCTGACAATAACATTTGGTGATCACTTCCTCTCTTGATGGTTGTAGTGACACTGCAGTGCTCACTACTTTTAAAGTATATCTTCCATGCTGTCGAGTGTGCATTTCTTCTAGATTCAATGATTTATTCTACTTACCACCTACTGATTTTTGTCAGATAAACTTGTGGAGGGGAACTGAAGCAGGAAGCCCTTGACTGGGTTCTTCTCAAGAGTAGTTGGAACATGGAGGTCAGTGTCCATGCTGAATTACGACTGGCAGATGATGATATCCTTATTAATAGCTGCAAGTTTCTAGGCTAATGTTGTTGTAGGGCACTGCCTCTCAAAGTCAGCTTTGGTCGCTGATGATCAGCCCCTTCTCAGTCCTCCACTCGTGGGGTTGCTGACAGAGATTAAGTGTGATCATATATTGTGAAATCCCGTCTGTTGGGTGTATATGGGCAACACCCAGGCGAGGATGTGGATTTAATAATGTCTACTTGCTATGAACATAAACTACAGATAGAACATTTATCTTATTTCACTCCTTTTTTTGTCTTTCTTAGACAGTTTTTGAATAATGAAACTAAAATGCTTGCTTTAAGTAACACACCTTTGCTTTTTATTACACTTTATAAGGAACTATAATCCAGAAATGTGAATTCATCTTCATTCTCATACCATTTATGTGAAAACTGCAATGCATTACAGTACTGTGTGCAGTCTGCTGGAGGGTAACTTGTGAGTAAAGCTGGTTTTCATTAATTTAAACTTTGTTTTTTAAATCAGATATTCAGAATTGCTAGAGACGGTCAGTAGAGGAGGGGGAGAAAATGCCATCTTGCGTCATACTCAGAGAAACAAGAAGCTGTTTGTTCGTGAACGCCTGAAATTGCTGCTTGATGATGAGTCTTTCCTCGAGCTGTCGCCGCTGGCCGGCCTCAACATGCCGTATGGTGATGTCCCTGCTGCTGGGATTGCAACTGGTAATCATAGAATCATAGAATCATGGAATGGTTTGGGTTGGAAGGGACCTCAAAGCTCATCCAGTCCCAACCCCCCTGCCAGCAGCAGGGACACCTTCCACTAGACCAGGTTGCTCAAAGCCTCATCCAGCCTGGCCTTCAACACTTCCAGGGAGGAGCAGCCACAGCTTCTCTGGCCAACCTGGGACACTGTCTCACCACCCTCACAGTGAAGAACTTCTTCCTAATATCTAATCTAAACCTCCCCTCTTTCAGCTTAAACCCATTTCCCCTTGTTTTGTCATTAACTGCCCTTATGAAAAGTCCCTCCCCAGCTTTCTTGTAGCCCCTTCAGGTACTGGGAGGCCGCTATAAGATCTCCCTGGAGCCTTCTCTTCTCCAGGCTGAACAGCCCCAACTCTCTCAGCCTGTCCTCGTAGGATCGAGAGCAAATGTGGCTTTGGATGTAATGGGAAATTGATGAAGTTAATTTCTTTCATTCCTCTTATCTTTAAATATGATTCGTATTAGATGGAAAGATGGTTTTGGGTTGTGGGTGTTGTTTTGAACAGCCCATGCTGGAGATGCAACCCAGAAGGAAGAAGGTTTTTGAACCAATGTGATCCTTAATAAAATTTGAGAGATGCTGTTTGGGTGCAGTGATGAGTAGGTGATTCTAGGCAGTGTACATTAGCTGTAGTCCATATGTACTGAACAACTTCCCAGAGTCACCAGCCTTTCTCACTGAAGTTAAGGTGTTGGTTCTTTTTGGGAAAGGAAAAAGGATACCTGTAATCAGGTTTATGGAATATTTTAGTATCTGAAGAGTGTGCTTTCCTAGGAAAAATGAACATCAGTCCTATCCAGTAGCAACGTGAAAGAGTTCAGCCACTGCTGTATTATTCTTCCACAGGTTTTGCTGGGAGATCTCGGAAAAACCTTTGAAGAAAAAAGTTCTTCCATTTCTTCTAGATTTAGTAATTTATTCTACTTACCAGTTACTGATTTTTGTCTCAAAAAATTAGGATGATGTGTCAAATAAGCTGTTGTCTGTTAAAGGAAAGGGACCAACTTACTCTGAGACACAGGAGCTGTGTAATATTTTTCAAATTATAGACAAGTCTTTTGAAGAGCCATTCCAGTTCAGAAAGTCACTAGAAGAAGAGAATATGAAATCCTGTCTTTTGTCACAGATTGTTACATTTTTCAGTTTTATATAGGTCATTTTTAATTGCCTTCCCTGTTGTCTCAAGAGCTGGAAGTCAAACTGTGTTTTTTTTTTTTTCTCCTCTGTTGTCACCAGGAGTAAGTAAGTTTATTTAAAGTTTTGTCTTCCATCATTTAGATTTATTTAAAAATATCATTAACTTTTGTCTTGTTATTCCAGAGAACACCTGTAGATTTCTTCTCTGGATGTTATTTGCAGTGTAATTTGCAGCTTCTTCATGTCCTATTGCCTAAAGAACATCCTAGCTATAATTTATCCCCTTTGTTTCATCTGAAATATTGTAGAGTCCTGACAAGTATCTGTGGTACCACTTCCAGGAATTGGCAAAATCTGTGGGGTCTGGTGTGTCTTCATGGCAAACGATGCGACTGTGAAAGGAGGAACTATTTATCCCATTGGAGTGAAGAAACAATTGAGAGCTCAAGAGATAGCCATGCAGAACAGACTGCTGTCTGTCTACCTTGTTGACAGCGGGGGAGCATTCCTACCTCTACAGGTAACACCAGAACCACTTCATGGAAAAAAATAACCTACGTTTACCTTAATCATACTAATTCTTAGCAATAAACCTCAGTTTTCTGGTGTGTTTTCTTGGCTGGCTGACTTTCATTGTCTATTATACTTCAGTTGAGTCTGGGAGATGGTTTGAAGATCTGTAACAGCAGTGAGCACGTCGGCTCATCTTGCATCTAACATCTAATCAGAGTTCAGAAACTTGAATATCAGTAGAGGGGACAAAGGGCTGAGCAAGCATGGATACTCCTCAGTGTGCTGAAATCATCCTCTGGTCTCCTTAATAAATTAGTGTGTACTTTGAGGTTTCTGTTTTCAACTTCAGAAAGTATGGAATGACTCTGTATTGTATTGTAATGTTTGTGATAGTCACACAGTAACCTCCGTGGCCTTTAAAATACAGGTTTTGAAATTCTTACTCTTGTAAAAGGAGAGTCTCCACAGGTTACTTTCTGATGTAGAGAGGCCTTATTATCACAGAGACTATAGTTGTTCCCTCTCCAGGCTGAAAGCAAGCATGGAAAAAGTTTTTATCTGACTTAAGGATCAAAAGCTCAGTAAAAAGGGAAACTGTGCTGAAGTAATTTCACACATAAAGTACGAATGTGAGCTTCCCCTTCTCCATGTTTACAATCTCAGTTTGTGTAGAACAAATCAGTTTCACAAAAATTTACAAAACTTACCTCTGCTTTTGATGCACATGGATATTTTTCTGGAATTGCACAATGTGTAAGGGGAATAAATACTCTGGCAAATGCTATATATTAAAGTTTCAGGTATGATTGTTAGTGGTGACCTTCCCAGAGTTGGTTACAGTGCGTGTGTGAATGAATGGAGTGAAGAGGGAGGCGTTGGCTTTTGTTAATATTGAAACTCACTTTGTCTTTTCTCTGTCATCAGTCAGAGCTGTTTCCTGACAAGTGGCACGGCGGCAGAACGTTCTACAATGAAGCGATAATGTCTGCCATGAGGATCCCTCAGGTGTGGTGGCATTTGGAGTACAAGGAAGTGTAGTATGTCACACAGAATCACAGAATGTCAGGGATTGGAAGGGACCTCGAAAGATCATCCAGTCCAACCCCCCTGCCAGAGCAGGAACCTAAATGAGATCACACAGGAAGGCGTCCAGGCGGGTTTTGAATGTCTCCAGAGATGGAGACTCCACACCCTCCCCGGGCAGCCCGTCCCAGGGCTCTGGCACCCTCACTGGAAAGAAGTTTCTTCTCAGGTTTAAGCAGAACCTCCTGTGTTCCAGCTCACACCCATTGCCCCTTGTCCTACCATTGGGCATCACTGAGAAGAGCCTGGCTCCATCCTCCTGACATTCACCCTTTACATATTGATAAACATTAATGAGGTCTCCCCTCAGTCTCCTCTTCTCCAAGCTGAAGAGCCCCAGCTCCCTCAGCCTTTCCTCAGCAGGGAGTTCTGAAAAAAGTTTTGTTCTCATACAGATTCTGGGAACAACCTTTAAGCGTTCAAAAAACCCCCTAAAGCTCACCTTTTCTATCTGTGGGGAAGGGAGATTCCAATAGTAACTCACATGACAAAATACTTCAGCCTTAAGGATCCTCTAAGTGTTTACCAACTGATCATGATGGAAAAGCATCCCATCACCAGGTTATTTCAGAGTAAACATTGAGCTCTCTCAAAACCAGCATTGTTGTTCATACTGGTGTTTATATCTCTAGTTCATTGTTCCCCAAGCTGTGATTTAGTCTCTTGAAATAAACGTGATGGTTTTGCCTTGCCATTCTCCCCTCTCCAGCATCTCGATGTGCTTTGGTTTCCGTGTCCTTCAGGTGGCAGTGGTGTGCGGCTCCTGTGTAGCCGGCGGTGCCTATGTTCCAACCATGGCAGAAGAGTCTGTGATCATAGATAAAATCGGGACGCTGTTCCTTGCTGGCCCACCTCTGGTAAAAGCTGCTACAGGAGAATATGTCTCTCCCGAGGATTTAGGAGGAGCCAAACTTCACTCTAAGTATGTGAAATAATTCTCATAAATAATAGAGAATTCAGCAGAACTTACTTCATAGCTTCGATTTAAAAAAAACTGTCATTTTATCCTAAAATAATGTGACTGAAGCTGCTCCAGTGACAGGATACAATATGGTCCTTGAGGACTGAAAAACATGCAGTGAAAAAAAACCCAATAGAAATGATACATTAATTATTATACAGGTTGGTGGCGTTCAGTTGTGTATGTGGGAGTGTCGTGGCACTAGATAGAGTTCTTTGAAATGAAAAAAGTACCATGGCATTGTGATTTCATCTTTACTATGTTCCACAGGAACTTTCCACTTCCACTGGACTAACAGTGGAAGTGTGTTAGTTCCACACACTAACACTGATAGAAATCTGACATAAGTACAGCAGTCAGGATCAGGGCCAAAAGTGGAACCTTTTATTACGCTGTTTGCTTTCCTTCTCAGGTATGGGGGATTTTTTTTTGTTAGATCAGCCAAATAGAAATTGAATTAAGTGATGTTGTGGGGTGAGGCAGGGACTGGGCAGACCTGGATTTGGTTCCTCATTCTTCCACGTACTTTCTGAACAACTTCAGGCCAGTCAGTTCCTCTGTGCCTCAGAGAGACCAGCTATAGAAGAGGGATGGTATCATTTCTTTTCCTAATGTAAACATTGTCAAGTTACAAATACTAAAAAATACTAAAAATTTTGAGTGAATACTGTGATAATGGGGAAAACACATAAGAAATTCTCTTTTTTTGCTTAAACTGCTGAGTGGAGAGGTGGTGTGACTTCTTTCCATTTGTCTGCTTCTGAAGACACTAGACTAACCACAGAGAAGAATCTGAATGCTTGTAAAAGTACCTGCAGCCAAGAAGACAAGTGGAAAGCCTGCCTGCCTCTGCTGCTCATGAGGGCTTCACAGCAGGAGCTGAGCAAACAGGACATAAACCTGACAGTAGCTGTCTAACCATTTCTTTAATGCTATTTTTCTGTGTCAAAAACTTCTGTAGTTGTCAAAATAGCTGTTCCCTTCTAGATAGGGGAAGAGGGTGGGTTTGCTTCTTTGTTCTTGGCGTGCTGTGCTGTGTGAATGGTAACCAGTGTTCATACCTTTCTCACAGAAACAAGTGTAAGTGTGACAGTCAGCTAACGGTGTTACACGTCATGAGTTACTGTCTTTATGGCCAGGCTAGAAGTGCTTATTTTGAAATAATTTTTAAAGTTTGTTTTCCCTTTATTATAATATTTGCAACAACATCATCATGAAAATAAATTTAGAGGTCTTTCTTTATTATTTGCAGCAACATCATCATGAAAATAAACTTAGGGGTCTTTCTTTATTATTTGCAACAACATCATCATGAAAATAAATGTAGAGGTCTTTCTTTAACAGAGGTAAACACAAAAATCACAGGGAAGAACTTCTCCTTACTGTGAGTTTGTTTTGGGCTCGGATTGTCCAGAAATTCCACTGATTCTCTGCTTGCAGCTCATTCATGCGAGAACAAAATCACACGATATTTTCATTGAGTGTAGGGAGTCACAGCACGGATTAAGGCTTTTCCTTTAGTTTGTTTGTTTTCCTATCAGAATTCAGCTTTCATTAATTCAATACTAATTGATGTTGCTCTCTCTCCTAGAGTCAGTGGCTGTAGTGACCATTTTGCATCCTCAGAAAAGGAAGCCTATGAATGCATTCGAAATGTCATCTCTACGTTAAATTACGAGCCGCTGCCGGAGGAGGCCATCGAGCACGACAGCCCTCTGTACAGCTCTGATGAGCTCCTGGGACTGGCACCACAAGATTATAGGTTTACTCTTCCTGTGAAATTGGTAAGGTGACAGATACTGTGTTCCTTTGTCCTTGCTCTGTCTGGTAGCTCCACATTAACAGGCAACAGGCTGTTCTGTCTTGGAGAATCCTGAGTTATCATAGAATCATGGAATGGTTTGGAT